TAAATGTCGAATAATAACATTGGATATTCAAAATAAAATATTAATAATTTTAAAGTTTTGTTTTGGCATTGGCCTCGTGAATTTTTAAATGGTGCGTTTTTAACTTTACATCACATTTGTTGAGTATGTTTATAAAATATTTCAGAGCATATTTAATATTCGATCCATTGCTGGTAATAAGACTTCCTGTACCAGATGACCGGTCGCTCGCTACTTAAATGCACTGTTTTTCATCTGCCTTGACCAGGTCGTTCGTCCGCCTGGTGTAAAACCATTCAGGTATTGGACATAACGTTCGCGGTATCTTCTCCATTAAATAACACTTCAGCTTGATGAATCGATGATCTATCCATGTCAGTGACTTTAGTTCTCTTACGAATCTTCTCATTTCTGATTCCATTATGCAGGTATCTTTTGTAACTTTACCGCAACAAACCTTTTTATATCAATATATTTATTTAATTTGTATAAAATATATTGCGATAGAAATATAATTTAATACGAAATTTCTCTCATAAAAACGTTAATTTTTTTAAAGTATCAAAACTATTACAGTATTTGCACCTAAAATTACGCATTGTCCCAAAACGTAATCGCTTCATTTGCCTGACTAGATGTAAGTTGGCCTTAAATCCGGATTACTATTTGTAATTGACCGAATTATCATGGTGTTATAAAATGTAAATTAATACTGATTATAAATACATAATATATTTATTGATTTATTACAGTATTTAAGTAATACATTAAACTTACTACTATTACCTAATATCTATATAACATGCCTTTTAAAACTTAACATAAGTTTATATAATATACTAAGAATATGCAAATTATAACTGTGTACTATAGAAAGTAATAAATAATATCATTATTATAGCTGAATAAATGATGAAATCTAGTAGTATGTCAAAACTTTATTTTTAAATAATTGATGTACACTACAATGTGTTTTCTGTATTCTGAGAATGTATAAAACCCTTTATTTATATATGTTTGGTTCAATGCCAAATAAACTTAAAACTTAATTAATTTAAGCTGACCTACATTCAACCTTATACAATAATTGTAATCGTACTTTTAATTAAAATTAAACGTAAAATTTACAAACATCAAAAGGACTCCGAATTCTTTAATTAAATTCACAAATTGCACTTACAAATCTCCCTTTTACTGTCACCTTTCTTAATTCTCAATTGTAATTGGGATGGCAACAATAGAAAGGGCATAATTGATGGAGAAAATGAAAATTAATTATTTTATTTAGGTGTAATTGTAATAGTTTCACTTGGGTAGGATTGCATATTATTGTTTTTCGGAGTAAGCGAGAAAAGGTTCTCGACGTTCCGCTTCACGAGCGGACGACATCATGACGAGATGTTTTTAAGTCCTCGATTTGATGGTGATGATGGTATGCTAAACAATGGCTGTGAAAACCTTACATTGCAGTCTGACTGTGTCGTTTTTAGTGTAATAAAGTCACGAGATAGAGAAAGAGATATATAATAAGTACTCTTTTAATATTAACTACTTGTCATTTGAAATTATTAAACACATTTGTAGTATGAACATGTTAGCCCACACGTTATAGGGCACTCCGGGATATTTCAGTAGACATTCGTTTAACCATTTAAGCTACATAAGTTGCATATCTATTTCTTTATTCAATTTCAACCATAATTACATTATTTTAGATCCTTTGTCTGCATTGTCCTCCGTAGTAACCATAATCTGGCTTTAATACAAAACAGGCTAATACTAAATGCAATTCGCGTGAATTGATTGTTAATCATACAGCCACATCATAATCATCATTATTTTGTAAGGAATAAGTACCATTTTCGCTTACATATTCCGCGGACATCGTTACAGGCATCAGAAATGGCCTGAGGGTTTAGTTTAGCAGTTCGTTGCTATTACACTGTTGATGGATTTCTAGTAGCTGCTGAGGCCCGTAACTAATCTGAATTCAATCGGAGATGGGGTGTGGTATGTGTGACGGCGTGTTACTGTTCACCTGTCACCTGAAGCAGAAGAGTTTGTTTGTTTGAACGCGCTAATCTCTGAAATTATTGCTTTAAATAAAAAATATATTTTTGTGTTAGATAGACCATTTATACAGAAAGGCTTTTACGTTATATAACAGCGAACAATAAGAGCGATGGAAGAGTGGAAATTTTGACGATAACATATTTGCGGGTTTCCGTTGCGTTGACTGCGAAAACGGTCAAAAACAAAATAAAATGTTTTAAGTATTGATATCTCTTTAAAAAATCTAAATAAATATTTTGATCAAAGTCAAACCGTTTTTGATCTAGAAAAGTAGTGATCTTGAAAATTAACTCCTCAAAAACCGTTTTTGTGGTAATCAAAGTCGGTCGAAATCAATTCATTATTTGTTCGAGTTGTCAACATAAAAATATTAATCTGGCCAACAACAAAACAAGTTTTGCTAGATCAGCTGGTGATTTATACTTGTCAGTCTATGTAATTATGTACGTTATATTCTAGCGCTTATATACTAAAATACTGTGCAGGTTTAATACAAAACGTTAATATCATAAGTCAATGTTGATATAGTTTTTCCCGACGTAGTCAAACTTGGTCTATAGCATGGTAGATCCGATAAAAAGGAACGGACAAATAAAGCTAATTATTAAAAAAAAATTAACGGTTTAAAACGCGATTGCAAATTGATTGAAAATCGACGGGTAGTGTGCGTAGATAAAATAATTATAAAAAAAAAATCACAAATATATATCTCGTTTTAAACCGTTAAATGTTGTGTTGTTTTATTTAATGTGTACTACCCGAGGAAACTACACACAGTGTTTAAAAGCTAATTATTCCAAGACTCCGGTAACATAGACCAAGCCCCAATCTAGACTCAGTATTCAAAGCTCACCCCGCGGGAGTGCCATGCAGAATGCGGAATGTGAACTGAACGAAAATATTTACTTAAAAAGGAAATCATATTTTTGTCAACGTCTTGTTACTCCGCGATTTCAATATTTCCCGCTTGCTCGCGCACTTTTTATTGAATGCTTATTTATGAGTTTCAATCGGTTAGACTAGCATTCCCTGAGATGAAAATTCACGGAAAATGATTCTGACGTAAATGTATGAACTGACTAAACTTAGTCTGGATAGTATAATTTTAATCTACGTACAATATTCTAATTGAATTTAAGTATGTTCCCCTGTCTAAACCTGAGTATTATTTACAATTGATACCTGTACCTAAAAACCTTAGTACTTTATTTTACTACCGCATCTATACTAATATATGAAGCTGAAGAGTTTGTTTGTTTGTTTGAACGCGCTAATCTCAGGAACTACTGGTTTGATTGAAAAATTATTTTTGTGTGGGTAGAGCATTTATCGAGGAAGGCCCTATAACACATCCCAGGCGCTATATGTCTATCTTTTAAGGTTAATTGCAAGAACGACGGGACGAGAGCGACGTCGTTCCTGCAAGGCGTGTCGGGTAGTGGGAAAAGTAGATGCTCAAAATACTATTGTACGCGAACGAAGTCGCGGACACAGTTAGTTATTTATAAAAGATTACAATTTAGGTAGTATTACGAGAAACGTGCATAACATTTTACATACTGTCTATTTACCGAAATAAAATTTTTGATTTATATTTTTTGGAAATAAAATCTTGTTAAAAAACAATGTATTATATAATACATAATAAATTTTATATATTTTAAACGCCTGTATAAAAATTACATACACAATCGACTAGCATCTTATTAGTTTGTTTTTTATATCAAATACAAAAGACCGATACTAAAATTAGATAGCTAATGAGGACATAAGTAGGAAAAATACTTCATAATTAACGTAATACCTTCCTGGTATAAAAGGCCTCACCTTGGAACGGAAAAACTTGGTACAATGTACACGTTTATCAAAACAGGATTTTTGATGTATAATTACAGACACCACGTAGGCTTTCGGAGAGTACAACGGCTTAAAAAGACTGTAAATTATCCTTTTTACGTCAACTGCGCCGCTAAATCTTTATTAGGGTGGAATTTGAACAATTACGGAGGATATAACATTTATTATGCTAATACGTAAAACGTAGGTGTTGACTATATGATACACAGGTGCAATAAGAGCGACCTGCTTACGAATTTCCTCATTAAAAAATTCGAATAAAATAGCAAATTTCCTTGGCCACATTCAATACAATACTTAAACGGTTTAAAACGCGATATATTTTAGTTAAAGAAAATATATTTTTTAACTACGGCCCGAGGTTTCGGATGCTTTGTAGCAGCCGTGGTCACGGGGAGTCAAGGGGGTCAGTCTCCCCGTGACCACGACTGCTGCAAAGCATTCGAAACCTCGGGCCATATTATTTTTTTTTAGTTACTAAAATATTTAACGTTTTAAGCCGTTAAAGTGTTTTATAAAATGTGTACTACTCGCGTAAGCTACAGACAGTATAATACGTACTTTTTCAATACAAATATGGAAAATAAGTCAATTTTCAACATTTTGTTAATAATTTTTGCAAGCAGTGTGTCCGTACGGCTTATGTTTGCTATAGTTATCAGGACTCGAACACACGTGCTTTACGATGTAAACCCGCATTACTTTGTACCCTAATGAACCGTGATTCTGATGTTTTCACTTTAATAGATAATGATGTATTGAGTGCCGATTTGCATCCAAAATGTAAAATATCCCGCATATAATTAGTATTGGTAATTTAGGTAAGCTTGGTACCGGGATTTAAAGCGTAGACACAATATCTTTAAGCACTATTTGTTTGAAATCTAAATTTGATTTTAGATTTATATTGAACTGAATATATAATACTATAAATACAAACATATAATTTAACTTAAATCTTAAATATTTATGTCGTTATAAAATGAAACACAAATTGTAAACATTATTTTTATTACAATTATAAAAAAAAATCAGTAGAAGCAATTGTAATACAAACAGATTATAAAGACTGTTGCAAATTCAATTGCAACTTATGATCCAGACTGGTTGTTGCAATGGCATTTTCTAGAAGGCCTATCTTGCGAATGACATCGAAATCCGTCTCGTGAGGTTCCACGTGATCTCCCCCTAGATCGACCTCGAGATCTTTCTCTAGACCTTCCCCTAGATCTTCCTCTTAAACGTTCCTTTGACCTCTCTGCTGACCTACTCCTAGATCTATTCGGTCTTCTTTCACAGGGCCTTTCAATGTCGGTGTGTCTTCGACAGCAATGATTTAGCATATTGAAATCCTGTCTATAGTCTGTTTCAAATGCGGCGTGAGGTCCAAATTGTATATGGCTATCAAATGGCCCGTGGAGTCCAAATGGTCTATGGTTTTGCAACGGGCCATGGGGTCCGAATGATCCATGGCTTTCAAATGGTCCATGCGGTCCAAATGGTATTTGAGGTCCAAATTGACCGTGGGGTCGGTAAGGTCCAAAGAATCTATCAGGTCCAAATGGTCCCGGAAATGGTGGCCCATGTCGTCTAAAGCACCCCCTACCTCTATGGAATTCGAACCCTCCATCGTTATGATGATGGTGTCGTACGCCTGACCGTCCCATAATAATGTTCTAACGCAGAATGATAAAGTAATGTATGCGTCCCGCTTTATACAGAACATTCGTTTCATAAGTTTGTGAAATCTTATGCAACAATGCAATATTGTGAAATGGTTTTACCATTAAATTTTTGCAGATTCTTAGATTAGTATACCGATAATGAAAATAAATGAGCCCAATATGGCCTTTTCTATAAATATAAAAAAAAATATCATACATGTTTGTTTGTAACGGCATTATTTGACATTCAATTCCTTTGTATATTCTTCTTTATGTCAATTCTTAATTTCTTTTTCAATCTTTCAGACATTAATGTAAGAAATATTGCTAAATATTAATCTTTAATACTAGATTATTAATTATTAACGTAAAATCACTGATTTTTAATCCTATTGCAACTTCTTTTACTTTTAACGTATTATCAAAATATTTCCACGATTGCAAACACGGTATGTTTAGCCATAGAAGCTATTGCAAACGGTATTAAAACGCGATCCGAATACGTGTGAACTTATTTGAAAAATGATTTTTAAACAAGTTTAACTAAAATATATCACGTTTTAAACCGTTAAAGTGTTTTATTTAAATATTGCACAATGTTTCACAGTCATTGCACAATAGTTTTTCAATATAGTGGTATTGCGCAATGTTTCGAAATCATGGTGCAACATAATGACAAGACAACAATAAGTGAAGTACCTATATGCAAGTATTATCTCACCTGCATGGAAAACCCAAAAAATGACTTTTCTACCTTAGATACCACGACGTACGTAAAAGATATACATATATATATATATATATATATATATATATATATATATATATATATAACTATCTGTATCAGCGACAATCACCTTTATAAACTTACGCTCTCTTGCAAGCTTAAAAGATAGACTTATAGTCATTTTTTTAGATTAAAGAGAAATCATTATTTTTTTGGGTATCTTAAACCGTTTTTACAGCGTTCGCCTGAAATATTTTTTTACATTTCTCGGTGTACCTTTGCTTGTATTAGTCACAGGGCCATGTTGTATAGTCTATAGTCTTCCTCGATAAATGCTCTAACCAATACAAAATTCGAACTCGAAGTACCTGAGATTAGTGTGTTCAAACAAACTCTTCATATTAGTATAGATATATTGGAATAATGTTAAATGTTCTCTGTATTAACTAATCCTTACTATATAATATAATATTATAAATGTGAATGTTACTCTATCTGTCTGTCTGTTACTCTTTCACGCCAAAACTACTGAACGGATTTGAATGAAATTTGGTACACCAGATGGTCTGGACCCTGATAAAGGACAAGCTTTTTATTGCGAAAAGGGGGTTGGAATTTATTAGTCTATATTGAATGGAGTTGATGATATTGACATCGTTTCTAGAATCTAGAGAAACCTATCATTTAAATTTTTTATAACTGCTAAGGTTTGTGAAATGTGAAATTAACATGCCCCCGCCTTTTGCGACCAAGGCTGCTGCAAAGCATCCGAAACATCGGACCGTACTTAAAATGAATAGTATAACGGTAAACTAATACATTTCGCGTTTCAAACCATTAAAAGTGTTTTGTTTAAAAGTGTAATACCCGCATAAACTACAGACAATACGTAACTTATTTTGTACGATGAAACAGCCTTGGTATGCTAACCAAGAGTAATCTGTAAGTTGACAGTACATCCTTATTAACGTCATACGTACAATTTCCTTCCTTCAATTGAAAATTGATGAGTTAAGTCAACATCAAACTATCGCGAAGGATATAGCTGGTATAAAAAATAACAATATGTGATTTGAATATGGAACATGATAATCCTTTGGTTCTTATTATTTTACATTTTAATTCCTTACCATAAAGCGTGTTTCAGTTCGTTTAAAATTGTTTGATTAAGCATGTCTGTGTAATTAACTAACTACTACTACTACTACTAAATGAATAAATTTAGTGCGTGAATAAATATTTCAAATATGCAGGAACAATGATTAAGAGCAAGCAATTTTAAGTAAGTAGTTCACTCAATTGGAAATTAAAAAAAAAATATTTTCTTACGCATTTAAATAAAACACTTTTCGAAACGTCGGGCCTTAGTTTAAAATAATTTTCAGTATATATAGTTAAGAAACAAAAACAATTATAATACCGGATCTAGAACTAATAGAAAAATAAAATAAAAATGGCAATCTTGTTAATAAGCTTTATTAAATTCTTGTCACGTGTTCTTCCATATTCTTGAAGTTAATCTTATTGTAATCAGATAATATTAAAATATAATTGCAAGCAACGAACGTTATCTTTCACTTTCGTTTGTTAATTTTTCTTATGGTATTCTGTGTATTTGTCAAATAAAAAAAGTTTACGGTCGTATTTACTTTAAATTTTTAGCAACGTTCCATGCTGTTGAGGTATCACTATTCTAATCCCTTGATAGCGATGCAGAACATTTTTTTTTTTTTGTTGACATTATTATTCCGTTTTTATTCCACCTTTTTTTCGTGGGGAAAAATTTTTTTCAATTGTTTTTAAAAATTTTTTTTTTTTCCCCCTTTTTTTTTGGTTTTTTTTAATTTAATTTTTTTTTTTTTTTTTTAATTTTTTTTTTTTGGGCGCCGGGCTTGAAATTTCTTGTGCTTAAGCTATCTCAATAACATTATTTTATTTATAGTACTTAACTAAAAATGTTTAATGTGTATTAAATATGTTAAATAAAAACTAAAAATGTCAGATTAAGTATGCTTATTTTCAAGCTGACTTGGAGCGTCCAATATTAACTCCGCTAATTAAACCTTCATCATTTGTATTGCAACGTCCAAAGGACAATTTACATCCGCATCTGTGGCCGTGACCGAATCCATGTCGTCCGTGAGGACCTAGAGACGGTCCGTGATGTATTCCGTGTTGCCCGCGTGGTCCTCTATGGCCGTGAAGATAACAGGATGCAAAGAAAGATTTACATCCACATCTAGGGCTGTGGTCAAATCCATGTTGGCCGTGGGGTCTTTGAAACGGCCCGTGGTGTTTCCAATGAGGCACATCTGGTTTCCCATGACCGTGATGTGGGCCAGGGTGAGGTCCGAAGTGGTCAGCGTAAGGTCTATGATTGTGAGGTCCGTGGCCTGACCGTCTGTGGGCATGATGACTATGGGGTTCGCAACCGTGAGGGCCATGAAAATCGTTACTGTAGTGGCATCGCATGTTTGCTAGCTTGTCACACTGATGTATCGTTAGTTATTCGCGAGTATTTATATCCGTTATCATTACACCATGTTTTGAAATGGCTTCTAATCTAATAAGGCTTTCGGGTATACGAAACTTTCGTAATATTATAGAATAACATTTAGGTAATTGGCTTAATTAGCTTAGAAGCTTAAAATAATCGGTATGACTTCCCCTTTCCCAATTTCACCTTTGTTGGTCTTTTTTACTAATATACAGGCTTAGGATTTACTAAATTAGGTCTGTGCCATTCACAATTTTTATTTTATTTTGATATTAAAATCCCTTTCCGCTTACAGTAATGCTAGGAACCGCGCTAAGCCATTGAGCCACAATTGTAATATTTCGAGATATGGTTGTACCTAAATAAAGGTGTCTTTCATTTATTTAGACAACCTCCTTACCTTTCTTTTTACCTTTATATATATATTGCAAAACTATATGATGTTAGATTATCGAATGATGATGTTGATAGACTAATTAATATTTCATTCAAACAAATTCTGATCAAATTAAACAATTACATAGTTCAGAAACTACGCGTTTAACGTAACTAAGTAATCTTGACGTATTAAGTTGGGTACCGTGTACACAATATAAACATTAATATTCCAATTTCTTCGTACAATTTACACCCAAAATCCATGCTAGGTTGAAATCAATTCCGTCCTTTCAAGTGCAGGCAGGATTCAGCGTAGTTATCAACGTAAGCATTGGTAACCGCGAATCTTACGAACACGACTACACTACGCACGCCTGAAAAGGTAGCACCCTTATTTTTTTTTTAAATTAACTAAAACAAAAGCAATGCAAAACGTCGTTTAATCGATTTGGACGACTTCGTTCGTGCAGTGGTAGCAATGTTTGGGTAATCAACGGGGGGGGGGGGGGTCCCCCCCCGCCCCAAAATTTTTTTTGTTCATTGTTTTTTTTTTTGGTTTTGGTTGGTTTTTTTCTAGAAATCTGTACATTAAAAGGGGGGGTAGAAATATCGTTATTTCGTCCGGGTCATAAACCACCTTCCTTAGATTTAATAGAATAGCGTTACGGTTTTAGTATGTGGATTTCAGAATATATAAAGTCAAAAAAGGTTATATGGCTGGGGTATTTCATCTACCATCAAGAGAAACCCATGCTTGTCTGTTCTCCTCTATCATAAAAGAAATATTGTTACGTAAGACATATTACACATGAGAGCTAATATAATAATTAAAAATACTATCTATTTTGTAATCAAATTAAAAACAAATGGTACTCGAACCCACTACCAACAGCGTATCGTTGATGTTAATCTATAAATTAAGTAACTTATAACCACCAAACTTTAGTAGAAGTCTAGCATGTTTGAGAAAAAAGTAAGACCGGAGGGGCTCGAATCCAAGACTGGCTGATTATAATCCATATATTGCTACGGTTAGACCCTATTAGGCCTATATTTTTACACACATTATTTCAGAACTATTTGATGTGAAAAAATTAATTGAATACAGGTAAGACTATCAATAATTCCGTCACTTGCTCAGTAAATACTTGGATTAGGGCATGTAAATTTGTGCACCTAATTCAGTCGCACGGCCTGTACATAATCCAGTGTACCCAGAGAGTTGATCCGACAGCTGTCTCTCAAGATTGTGAAACCGACGCGAAATGCATTCTAACATGGGATTGGACCTATCACTACTTCCCAGTCGCATATGTAAATACCCTGAGATTAGGTTTCGAAGAATTCCTGAGAAATGTTTAAAGGAAATATAATATAATAATATATACTGGATATATCTAAACAAAGGGAATAAACATAATGTCGTAAATATAGAGTTAGTTTGTAAAGAAAGAATGGAAATGGATGGAAGACAAACTAAAATAACGAGTTATATTTTTGAGTTTTGACAACATTTATTTGTAACTTTGTCTACACTAATATAAAGAATTTGTTTGGGTTTTGCATAAAAATCATATTAAATAAACATTTATGTTACCAACTATATTCAAAATCAACAATGCACTCTATGAGAACAACTATTTGCTGGCTGTTTTTAAAACATGGAAATCCATACCCTGGTAGTGGTAGAAATAAAACGGGGGAATTTTTTTATCTCTGTGGGTTTAAGATGCGTACGCTGCGAAAACGGTTCAAGATACACAAAAAATATTCATGAGAGAATGATTCCTCTTTAAATAATCTAAAAATATGTCTGCGATAGTATATGTCTATCTTTTAAGATTAACTGGCTAGAACGACGGGAAGGGACGCGGTGGACATCGTGGCTAACAGCTTAAGTTTATAAAGATGACGGGATTTGCAAAAACTAATTTGTATGCCCAAAATAACAATTCTCGCGAACAAAGTCGTTGGCACAGCTAGTGCATCAATATATCAAAAATATTATATTTATAATTATAAATATTATCAAGAATGAAATATACAATATATGAAATATTTCTATGTTCAAGGAAATCCAAATGACATTAGTATGGACTATGTTGGTGTGGGGCCAAGTCTCGAAAGATTCAAATGTGGTGCTCCATTCCAGGGGTCTACGAAGGTCCACTAAGCTAAATGTGATGAACCGTGTGACTGCTGATTATCCATATTGATAAATGTGAAACAAAATATACAAATAATCTTTTATATTTTATATTGAGTGTTTTATCTAATCATTCAAAAAAATAATAATAAACATTGTTCTTAAAAATTGCAAACTCCAGTTATTATGAAATGTTTACTAAGAAATATTGGAACATTGTTGTGTGAGAACGTCAGAAATATTACTCTGCAATATCTTTTAATTGACTTTATATTTTGTGATAATATGCTCTTGAGGAGGTGTAGCAAAATTGATTGAGTGTTTAAACAGCCTTTTTATCCAATAAGTATATGTTTTTAATAATTTAATAAATAAATGAAACAAAGAAAAACAAACTAACAACATTTTATAAGAAATAATCAATAAAGCCTAGAAGAATCAAATCTAGAAAGATCTAGAAAGTACTCAAATAGTGTCTGAAGTTAACGCGAGTAGTACACATTTAAATAAAACACTTTAACGGTTCAAAATGCTGTATATATTATTTTAACTACGCCCGACATTTCGGATGCTTGCAGACGTGGCCTATTTTTGCCAAGTATTGTCTGAAATTCATCATTGTTCTTTTGATATGAATAATAACAGCTTACATAATAAATGTGCAACAGAGTAATGTAACTGTTTCTTTCCGCTAAGACAAACGTTGCGCGTTACGTTAATAGAAATTGTATAGTTTTAAATAAGTAAAATCAAAGACCTCAGATTTGGTCGAAAATCCAGCTATGGTCCTGCCTAATATTATTACCAAAACATAAGATCGTAATTTTAAGTTACTTATTTTCATCTACCTTTTGGGTGCTTTTAGAGCAGTCGTAGTCATGGTGGACTTAACATGGTGTACGTCATTAGGATCAAAGACAAATCTACATCATCTACTCTACTCATACTAGACTAACGCTTTTGTATTTATTTCTTACAGTTCGATCCTTACTTGGGATAGTTTAAACATTTTTCTGACATAACTTAGTAATGGCAAATACCCATTACTAAATCCACTTCAGGAAAACATTTGAGTAAACTCTAAAAATGTTCTCATTACCATGATACACCTTAAGATGCTGTTATCGAGATTTTCGAAATTGAGCCCAAAAACACTGATATAGAGTGGAAACTCCAATGCGTAGCACGGCAGGAAGATTGTCATGATCGTGTCACGTAGTTTGTTCAAAACTTCACTCAGTGCTAGCTGAGGCGCGATGTGGTGACCATGATGAGGGCAGTTCCTTGGAGACAAAATAGTAAAATCTTTACAGTATCCAGAGTGAGCATATTTAATCAGTACAACTAGTTTGGCCTAGCTAAAGGCTTCCTGCTTAGACAAATTACTTTGACTAGCCTAAACTGGTATATCTTGTCGTGTATAGAAAGAACTAGTTTAGCCTAGGCAAAACTAGTTTGTCCTAAATCGGTTTGGCCGGTAACAACATATGTACGTTGTTACGAATGTAGTACCTACATATTCAGATGAAACTTGTAAAAGTTATTAATGAATAAAAGTATGCTTACACAGGAAAACAAATTAAAACGAATTTTAACGTTATTATTGTTGAATGTATTGAGTTCGTTTTAATACAGAGGTGTATTTGAGTTTTCAATCACATTCTCAAATGGTTTAAGACCTAACATGTTAAACAACATAATAATCTAGCAATAAGAGCTATTACCCAAAGTTGTGTTACTTTATTTTCTATTTGAATCGCTTGAAAAAAGAACATTGTTGTCGTGTCAATTTTATAGGACTTTTATGTATGGTAAATTATATATTCTTTCTTTTATTTTAAATACAAAGTTATTAAATATTTTAGGGTAGTTTTAAATATTTAATACTTATTGCAAATTTTTAAGTATCCAATTTACACCATAAAGCGTGGTCTCAATACCACCATGCGTTTACACTCCACATCTTTCCGTCGTTGGTGTCGTAACGGCTTGAAATTTTCGCGTTTCTGCAGATAATACAATTTTAGATAATACAATTTTGTAATGTGTGAATTTAATTGTATAAATTACTAATCGCAACATAAACATTTAATTACAATCAGATTACACGATTATTTGATAGCTTAGATAGAGATTTATAAAGCTAAAAATTATTTGACTCTCACGCTGTTTTTTTTATGTTTGGTCACGACCATTAATACATGTTTCCAGATTTATAATAACATAAGAACAATACGTATAACAGACCTTATTTATATAAGTAGGCAATATAATATTTTAATCGAAAAATATTTATTAACGGAAGGTTTAAAAGTTCAACCCTTTATACAGCCGGAAGCTGTTAATAGTTGCCATAATGGATCAAAGTGTAAATCTCCGCGGCTATAAAC